CAGGCGGGCAGGGCAGGGCAGGGGCTGCCGCCTCCAGCCGCTCCGGCGGATCAGACCGGGACCGGATCCTCCTCCGGTTGCGGCCCCTCGTGTTCGCGGCGGGGAGGCACGGGGACGAGCGGAGCCGCTTTCGAGGGACCGGGGCCGGGGTGGTGGTGGTGGAAATCAGCACCCACGGCAGGAGGCCTTTGTGAGGGAAGGGGCAGGGAAGGATGCAGAGTGGAGATGAAGAAGGCGTGGAGCTTCTCCGGGTGCCCGGAGCCTCAGGCGCCGGGAGGTGTGCGCGGACATGGAGCCGGGCTCCCCTGCGTGGGAACTCCGGAGCAGGAGCCGCGGGGTCTCGCAGGGCTGGGACGAGAGCCTGTCCTCGGCTCCCTGTGTGGCTCGAAGGGGGCTTTCCTTTTTTCCCCCCTTTAAACCGTTCTTTAGCGAAGTTGCTTTGCTGATGGCGGAGTTTTCCCCTCTCGTTTCCTTCTAGGATGCCGGGGAGTCCACCTGCCTTGAATGGGGCTGATCCGCTTTAGGACTGGTCAGCTTGAGGGTGTTTTTTGTGTGTGTGTGTGGGGGTGAGCTGCGCGTGTTGTCGGAGTAGGGGAAGGAGGTGTGGTTTGTGCCGTGTTCGGGGCATGTTGGGCTTAGAAGCAGAGCCGGTTCTTTTGACATCTTCCGGCAGGAGAAGGAATTTTACAGAAGCAGCGACTTGAGTGTGCCTTGTATAGGCTTTCAGTCCTCTCTCTCTGTGTGTGTTTGCTTCGGAGTAAGTTTTGCAGGATTGCCTAGGGTTGTGGTATTGCGCTGTGATCTGATGCACACTCCCCAAGCAATCACCCCCTATGGAATTTACTTCCGAGTAAACGTGCCCGTAATATTGTCAGGCAGCTGAATAATCTTCAGGGAGTGAGTGAAAGGAGGAGTTAAAATCTCCTGACATGGTACCTGAGTTCCTGCTTAATCTAGCCAGGAGTGAGAATTGGCTGATTTGCTTTTAAAATATATATATTTTGGGGGGGGGGGAACTACACAGCCATTATGAGGTGGGAGGAAGGGTGCTTCATTTCCATCCAGGACGCCTGCTGTGGCAACCTGTACCTCTTCTTTTTTTCAATGTATTTTCAAAATCCTAACACCTTGGGCCAGCTTCTTTCAAGGCTTGGTTGCTGCTCTGCAGGACATGCCCAAATCAAGGCATTGTGGGAATGTGATCAGAAGTAATAAGTGAAAGAAACTAGAATCAGTGAATGGCATCTTAGCCTGAAACAACTATTACCAGTAAACAGCCCTTTTCAGACCAGGCCGCTGTTGGGAAACGATTCTGGCATGAACACCCCCAGCATCACTATGCTACACTATTACAGTCCTAACGCTCCACTTTTTGCTGGGAGGAAGACCCTTTGGGCACAAAAATACTTGCTTCCGATTTGATTGGATTGGATGGTGACCTGGGGGCCAGCATTTTACACTAATTTACCTTGGATAGGTCATGGTGTCCTCAGTAGGGCTTACTTTGCAGTAGACGGCCATGAGATTGCATGGTAGACATGTATTATTTAAAAGTCAGTCCTTTTAATTACAGTGGGATCTGTGTTCCTGCTTTGGCAGCAGGACTGAGCTGATACCCACAACTCCATTCTAGCAAAGAGAAGATAGGATGCTCTCTTCTTGAGCAACTTTCTTTGGCCTTAAGCTCCCCCGAGCTCAGTAGGAGATGCTTTAATGTAATGCATTCAAGAAGAAAGTGTTTGTGTGTTACAGGAGCAAAGAATAAGTGTGTGCAGTATTTATTGGATTATTTTTCTTCTCTTCCCAATAGAGCTTTAGAATTAAAGAAGAAGCTGTTTTATTATTGGAGTCTGTGAAGAAATGTTATGGTATCTGTGTGTTTGCTGGGGGGCACTCCAATAAGTTTTGAATATCTGAGCTGTTTTTTTTAAATAGATAGATGGTGGGCTTTTTCAGGATTACTACATATGTTTCACTGGGCAGTGCAAAACTAAAAAAAAATATGGAAGTATGTTTATTACAGACAGATTTCTTGGTGGGAGGCCAGCCAACAACCACCTTATTTTGAAGGAATCTCTTGTTCAGTTCAAGTGTTTTACCCTAAATGTTTTATGTCAGCCTGATGTTTATTTTTATGCGCTCCATCTTATATCCCTTTCCTTCAGGGAAAGCATGTAGAAGATTTTGGCCAAAAGGAAAGCTTTAAAGCTATTTGTTTCTTAGGCCTCAACATGAGTGGACTTGTACACCTTTTGTATTCTGCTGCTGATTTGCTGCTCTCGTGACAGTGAGTGGCTTCATAACAGGTTACTTTTGGGTGGCCCTTTCAGAATAAAGGCAAATCGTTCTAACAAGATACCTAAAGATGATTTGGGTGAAAGCTGATGATGGATCAGATCAGAATGTTCCTAACTGTTGATCGTAACTGCATCTGTTGAGCTGCTACTAATAAGTACACTGAGGGCATTGTTTTTAGCTTGGGCTCTGCTTCTGCTTCCAGAGAGCTCACTTGTAATTAACCAGAATGAAAATTATAATTTGCCCAGAGTCTGGTTCTTTAAAGATGTATTTTGAAGTTGTAGTTAATGATAGGGGAGGAAGGGCCTATAGTGAAGAGAGGACATTGTTTGAAGGGATTCTGGAATGTGAAATAGGAGTCAGTGCTTGAAGGACTTCTCAGTGCACATTTATAGATAGGCTTTGCTATAAAAATTAAAGGGGACAGAGTGGAGGGAGCTGAATTTTCCAGAGTCGAGGCTCTGGTTTTGCATTCCTTAAGCATTCTGAACATCTGTTAGAATAAAAGAATAAAGGCGTATGACACAAATATACTAAGGCCCCCAACTTGCAGTGGGAGCTAGCTTCTTAACAATGAATATTACTGCAAATTTGGTAATCCAGGGATAGAGAGTGATGGGAAACAGCAAAGGGCTAAGATGTTAAGCAGCAGAGGATCTGAAGAAGTTGTTTCGTTAGCTGCCCCTGCTACTACCTCCAGCTTGGAGCAGCATTTGATGTACTCTTTTGCTGGCAAAGCAAATGATAACCCTGTTGAGAAGCCCTTTCCTATATTTAATAGTCATGCTAGCGGAAAATACTGCTTGGCGTTCAGGTGCAGGGCTCCATACTGTGGGAATAATGGGGGGGAATGAAGGTAATAATCAGGGCAACTCTAAGAATTGCTTTTTTAATTTCAGATCTTTGGCTCCCTGCTATGGCATCAAATGTTGCCTTAAATTATATTCAGCCCATGCTGCTGCTGTGTACAGTGTTGTGAATTTGGCTAATGGAGGGGCAGGCTTTTAGATGTATTAATCTGTTTTCCTGCCCTTAACCAAGGTTTCTCTGTGCAGCAAAAATCAGTTGTGGTCATCAGGGGATGTGGAAGCTTAAAGAAAAGGATGTGGAGTGTGGTGACTTCACCGTGTTCATGCTCTGCCAGAGCCTTTGCCAACTTGGTGCTTCTCCATGGGAGCTATAGACCAATGTACGTGGAGAGAGCCAGGCTAGGGAAAGGTGGCTCTGTAGTGCAGAGTCGGCGTGTAATGCTTCGCTTATTTTGTTCTTGCAGAAGATAAGGCAAGTATTTCAGACGTTCTGTATCAAGTGCGAGAATATAAGGTTTGGCAGGCAGAAAACACAAGAGCTTTGTGTGTAAGAAGAAAGAGTGGATACTGTTGGTGATGAAGAAAGATCTGATCTTTTCTTTCTTAGGGAGGAATAGAGATGGGCACGAACTGACAGTTCAGGGGTTTGTCCCAATCCATTTACTGTACCACCACAACAGGTGTTAAGCGGTTTGGCTCCCGGCCCCCTGCAGTGGGTGCCCACTCAGAGGCAGCCTGCCCTCTTCCTTGCCCCACCACCTCTGGGCACTGCCTCTGAGTGAGTGCCCTGCCCAAGGAGTTGCGGCACTGAACCACCAAACACCCATTGCAGAGGTAAATAAACTGGGCCAAAACACTGAACAGCGTGGTTTGTACCTATTTCGAGTTGCGGCACTGAACCACCAAACACCCACTGCAGAGGTAAATGAACTGGGCCAAAACACTGAACAGGGTGGTTTGTACCTACTGTATTTTTATGCAAGAGTGAAATGTATCTCACAGCAGTTAACCACGTCTTCACTGTGCTAAGGCATCCTTTTCTTATGAATGAAGAGAATGTTTGCTAGTATTTGTTACATCCTTAGTACAGAATCCTTGTTGAAGGGCAGTTAACACACACATCTAAGCCAATACATGGATCCTAACTCCTTCTTTGGCTAACAATATTGTTAGTGCCTGTGAGCTTGTAATTTGTTCAAGACTTTACCCAGGAACCTCATGTCAACTGAGATCTGTGATGGTAATGGTGTTACTGAGCATACATAGAGAGGCTTTATTTTATTTTATGTGATGGTAATGGTGTTACTGAGCATACACAGAGAGGCTTTATTTTATTTTTTCTG